TAAAAATCTAATTTTTAGTATATTTTGATAAAAAAAATGTTGAAATGCGTAGTTAAAATGTTGTAAATTCAATTTTTATTAGCCTTTTAAGGTACAACAAATGGTGACTAAAATTATTAAAATTATCAACATATTATTCAGTAAACCCTTGTTTGGTTCAACTAAGATTTTTAATTAAAATCTAAGTCTTTTAACCACATATTTTATGAGATCCACAAATCTTCAACTATTTATTTTATCAAATTTTACTTAAAAATTGATTCTTATCTAAACCAAATAAGAGCTAAATATATTGAGGAAAAAGTGGCAAGAAACTGCAATTCCAAGGACTTGATTGCGAAAAATTGAAATATACGGGGGGCTCATCAGCACCAATCATGTTCTTGAATTCAATGTCTATCTTGTTACCTTATCAGATCAAATCAGTCTTTATAAAAGCAGGGTTTCTCCCCATGATCATCAATTTTCAAACAAAAGTAGGTTCCCTTGTCCTTTAACGACAAGTGGCATGATATAATTGGCAGAGCGTTTTAAGGGGACCATAGGCTGTCATGTTCTAATTTTCCATTATTTTTTGTGTTAACGATGAACCTTATCCAATTTACTTTTTATTATTCTCATTTTGATGATAGCGTAACAGCGTTACAACTTCGTGTAACAAATTTATCTCTTGGACAAATTATGTTCAAAGTTACACGATAAGATAGACATGTCCACGTGGAGGGACTAGGAAAAAAATTTCCAAAGAAAACTTTTGTTTTTTTACATTAAAATTAAATGGGGTGGGGTGGGGTGTTCTCTTTTTCCATAATTTTTTGTGTTGAACGATGAACCTTATCCAATTTACTTTTTATTATTCTCATTTTAATGATACCGTAACAGCATTACAACTTCGTGTAACAAATTATGGATATATGTACGTTATACATGAACGCGATAAAAAAAGAATGTGTTCAATAACTAAGTATTTATACAAAAAATGTTTATTGAAATATATGTTATGAATTTTTTTTACGTCCAACTCTTTTACATTCTTATAACCTCACGCGAGCAAATTATCATTTCAATATTTCTATTCTATATATGAAAATAGCGGATAAAAGTCTATATTCTTGCCCGTAAGAGAAGAATTTTACACCATTACTTTGAGTTGTCAAAATTGGCAAGTCTCCTCAATCGTAGCTTGGCACAGTGGGACTCTCAACTACCTCATTTTGACACATCTAATTATTTCGAACTAAAGCGCAAAGTAGCAGTCGTCAACTAGCCAACTGGTGATCAGTAACTCGAGAACTATGAAATTAGTTAGAGATATAGGACTAGACAAGGTCGTTCTTTATTCCTTAAACCACTTCAAAGATCCTTAATTCTAAAAAAATTAGAAGGATCAATAGTGAAACCTGGCTTAAAATTCAGAAGCATTTCATGAGCAGAATGCAAGTGCCCAGAATGCTTATCCATCCGTACCTGAGATATAGAGCAGCAAATTGCTCTGTGCAAATACAGAAACAAAGCCAACTTAAAGAAATGAAATAACATTAAAAG